GAATTCCCTTTCTCTTAACTGTTTATATGTAACACCCACTTCCCCCTAAATCAGAAGGAAAATGTAGTAGCCTTAAAAAGCATCTTGAACTAGATTTTAAAAACTTAACATATAAACCTACAGAGTCTCAAGACATAAGAAAGAATCTGGTAAAGAGGGAGGTACAGTAGTAAGTGGCATGTTAACCATTTAACAACCTTAAGACTAAGAGGCTAGTAGCCCATTTCCATGCTTGCCATGAAGGAAGGGGCCTCCTTCCTGTTTGGCCAGGATGGGAACATAGACTACTAAAAAAAAGGTAAAGGTTCCCCTTCACAATTTTTGTCCAGTCGTGTTTGAGTCTAGGGGGCAGTGCTCATTCCCGTTTGCAAGCCATAGAGCCAGCATTTTGTCCGAAGACTATCTTTCCGTGGTCACATGGCCAGTGCGACTTAGACACGGAATGCTGTTACCTTCCCACCAAGGTGGTCCCTATTTATCTACTTGCATTTGCACGCTTTCGAACCGTTAGGTTGGCGGGAGCTGGGACAAGCGACGGGCGCTCACTCCGTCGCGTGGATTCGATCTTACGACTGCTTGGTCTTCTGACCCTGCAGCACAGGCTTCTGCGGTTTAGCCCACAGCGCCACTCAGTCCACTACTACTCACCTTTAAAATCCAGTTGTTTAAAAATGTGCAAGCTGTTAACTTACAAGAATGATCTGGGCCCTATCAAAAATAAATTAAATAAAAGATAAATCAGTCCAATGCCACAGACTGACTGGGAAATTCTTCTGAAAGCACACATTTTGTAAGCTCTGTTCTTTACAGTAACGACATAGAATAAAATAATATTGGGCTAATCCTAACATTCATTCTACTTAGCATGGACCCAACAAAATCAACAGGATGTAGGTCAGTTATGCCAGTAAGTCCCATTCATTTTGGTGGGTTTACTCTTAGCAGATTGAATGAGATTAATAAAGCATCTTCACAGCGTAGAACTTTGACAGTGCATGAAGTAATGCTCCATGGGTGGGGGCTGAGCCACAGGTTTAATGGTTAAATTGAACTAAGCATGATGTGGTCCAGATAAATTCCTCAGAGATTACCAACCCGTACTCCAATTCACCATTTCATACGTAAGACTGCCTTGGGAACATAATCAATCAGTCTGTCAATGATGTGCTGTTAAATCAACTGACTCAACAGACCATAGTGACCCCTGAGAGGGTTTCCTAGGTATAAAGTACTCAGATGTGGCTCACCTTCTTCTGGTGATGCTCTGGGACCAGTGCAGCCTGCCCAAGGCTACCCAGGCTGGCTGCCAGGAAAAAGCATTTGAGAAGCCAGATGCTCCATCTCACTGAGTTAGCTACTAGAAATGCATAGGAAAATAAAACCTTTTCACCACTGGAACAAGAAATAGACCAATATGCTTATAGTGTCAGGATATAACAGATGGAGTTTGTTTCAAAATTCTTGCCCTTAATACCTAGCATTAAAAGGCAGCTAATCTGTTCAGGATTCCTTTGAATAAAACGGGAGTTTGTATATGAATAAATGAAGGTTGTAATCTCTGTAGGATGACTTAGCACCAGCATGAGTTTAGCACTGCCTTTGTTTGGTTCTGCATTGATATGCATTTCCACTGCTTTTGAACATGGGCTTAATTAACCTTCTCTCCCCACCCTCCCAAAAAAAGGCAGATAGCTACGAAGGTAGCAAAGAAAATTGTCAGGTGGAAAATCTGAGTTGAGTGTGGATCATATTTTTTATCTCTGCCCTGTCTCTTGAAACAGGTCATTTAAAATGTGTAAGAAATGACTGCTACCAGACAGTATTCACATATGCACATGACATTGTAAAAGCCCCATTATCACTCAGAGGAAAAATAACGAATAAAGATGGAGGGGGCCACCTAGTGTTCGTCTGCTGTCATTACAATTCCTTCCAGGCAGTAACAGCAAACAGAAATGCATCCTTTTTTTTTCAATGGAAAACCTTAAAATATACCAATAGACTGCTTTTCTACGCTTGGCTTAGGTCATGGTGGAGAAAAAAGGGTCAGCAGAAGCAAGCCAGGCTCAACCATTTTTTATCAGTCCTTCAATAGCACAACATATGACACGGGAACATTTTTATAAACTCAAGTTGTTGAGGTCTCTGGCTGCGGAGCCAGAGGTAAACTCAAGTTGTTTAGGCCTCTGGCTGCAGAGCCAGAGGTTGGGAGCTTGACTCTCTGCTGCACCTCCTTGACAAGGGCTGGACTCAATGATCCAGAGGGTCTCTTCCAGCTCTGCAGTTCTAAGATGATGGTGATCATGATGCCACTGCCTCTTCTTGCTCCTCTAGTTGAAGAGACCTATAGCCCATAGGATGATGATGCCGCTGCCTCTTCTTGTTCCTCTAGTTGAAGAGACCTATAGCCCATATCATGCACAGCTCATCACAACTCTGTGTGCAAGCATAGGAAAGTTGAATTACTAGGCCTGGATCTTAAAGGAAACCAACATCTGCACGGTATGACATAATTGCTAAACATGATCCCAAAGGTTCCATCCAACATCTGCATGGTATGACATGATTGCTAAACATGATCCCAAAGGTTCCATCTGGAGCATTCTCAATGGCAGTTTCTTACTGTATTGCAATGAAAATCAGTAGACTGACTGCCATTTGCTACTAAATGGGCTGTGCAAGAGGTGAGCGGCAGTGGGCCCCAAATAACAACAGGAACCTTTACATCCCAGTGTTCCATGAATGTACACTATGGTTAGTTCAGCAACAGCTGGTGCTTATTCATTCCTTTTTATTGTCTCTTTCGTCTATCACAAGAGGTCCCAGAGGAATGCAGAGTGTGCCTGGATGGTCCCCCATCCTCTGCATAACCAAACCCAGACTTACTTGGTCTCAGCAAAGTTGGAGCGTCATATATCTTCAGTTGATGTCTGGCAATAAACAGAGACCTCAAGTAGCTCCTGGGTAGCTCCATGGTTTAGGTCTCGGGCTGCAAACCCAGAGGTTGGGAGTTCGATTCCCCACTGGGCCTTCTTGAAAGGGGCTGGAATCAATCCATAGGGCCCCTTCCAGCTCTGCAGTTGTACGATTATTATCTAAGATTTCTGAGCACACGTGGACATGAAATCTCATGTCTTTCTAGTCCTGATGAAGGCATCTGGAATCAGATCTTTACAATGCTACTTCTTTTTAAAAATGCTATATTAATAAGTTACTTATAACTTTAATCCAACCCAGCAGTTAAAAAGTAATACCATATTTCACAAAAGAAAATAGTTATTTCTATTAACTTTGGAAAAATCATCTGAACGCTACAAACTGCTGGCCTATCGTTCAAAAAACACTTTGTTTCTCCCCTTCACTGTCAGCTCAGTACACACAGCAGAGCATGGAGCTGGAAGCACAAGCCAGGACTGGAACTTTATGATACACCCCCTCCAACAATTGGTGAGTTACCTATCCATATAATCATAATGATTAAAACACTGGTGGCAGCACAGCAAGCTCTGCCCAGTCCTTGCAGCCCTGATGATCACTGGTCTGTGGGGACAATAAATGCATGGGGAAAGAAAGAAAACCAGAAACAGCCATGTCCCACGCACTGATTCAGACCTACCAGGTGCCATGTAAGGATACTCCAGACCAAGCAGCATTTGACTGATCTGGTCAGAATTTGCAATTTGTACTTGGCTAGAGAAATACATTAGGACCATGGTATCTGTCGGATCAGTATCCACAAATTCACTTATTTGCTGCCTGAAAATATTAAATTAAAAATCCTAAAAATACGTGTTTTCAAGTTGTATTACCAGAACTGGCCACTAGAGGGAACCAGAGACTATGCTATATGTAGCATTTCTATATCTGCACTTTTCAGGAGGTGGTTTGGCACCGATCCGCCGCACATACCATGGTCCTACGATATTATAAAGCTCCATGAAAGCATCTGCCTGAAAGGACATTTACAGCATTGGTACAAGGAGAGAGGCAGAAGTTCCTATAAGCCATGTGTCTGTGGCTCATGCTAACCTCTTGGGAATCTTTCAGAGTCCTGCTCAAAGGTTTGCAAAATGCTATAGGATTTCCATTCTGGCCATTAAGGTTTGGCTCTGGCTACAGTACTAGCAACTGGATTTGAAAGCTAAACCATCACTTGTAATCCAAGTTGGCAAATGCAGACCAAAAGTCAGTAAGTTCATATAACGCACCTTACCCAACCTAGTGCCAACCAAATATCTGGGGCATCATAAAAAGAGAAATGGAAATGTGTTGGCCTTTGATACAAAACACACTCTCCTCCTCGTGTGGATCATGTGTTTATTTTCTATTAATCCTCTTGAAAAACCATCTGGCAATCCAGGAAAAAAAATCAGCAGATCAGCAGGACTTGCTGAAAAGGGGAAAGCACTATACAAGTAACATGATTTAAATGGTCTCTGGTTCCAGAACAGCAGCGCCTTCTCTGGGCCAGGAGAGTTCTCCTAATTCTCCCCTGAAGTGGAAATAATCATACAAAATCATTGCATCCCAAGTGACAGGGGGGTTGAGTTCTCCAAAGGAGACTCCCAAGCAGTCTACTAAGTTCTCAGCCTCAGCTGAAGTGTACAAAAAGGATTTTTAGGATCATAACTCACAGAAACTTTTCGTCAGCTTGGGATTCTGGAACCTGTACTATCAAACAAGGCAACTTTTTCTACTCTGAGCTGGACGTGTACCTCAATGTGCCATCGCCTCAATGTAGGCAGAATTCCAAACAAACCTTTTCAATTCCAAAAAAAGTTCTTCCCTGTGCACCCCGAGAGAGAAGCACTGCTAGAGCAACTGTCCTCTGGAATCAGACCAGACTGGAGCAGCAAGAACAGGAGTGTGCTGGACTCAAGCTGGCAGGAGTTTGCCCTTTCGACTTGCCTGGAGGAGTATCACATAACTATCACAAAAAAGTTGATACTGATAGGGAGGAAGAGCAATCCAAGACAAGGATTCAGTGGGTTTTTTTAAAAAATTTCTCTAAGAACTTTCAGATCCTCAACCCTGTTAGATATAACCTTCCCTGACCTGACACTCTCCAGATGTGATGGACTACAGTTCCCATCATCCCACAGCCAACTGGTTGTAGGTTGAGTGAAGTGATATTTCACCACTTCTGGAGGCCACCACATTGAGGAAGCTTGAGATAAAGAACTGCATACTCTATGACCATCTCTACTATCTGGATGCTCTTGATTACCATACAAAGCATAGTCAGAACCTCTGTGCCATAGGCAACTTAACACAAGGAATGGGGGTCCAGCCCCAGCAGCAGCATGCAAAGCGATATCAAAACCAGTTTGCTTCATCCAGTGGTCTTTAACTTACAAAATGGAGATTATGCGAAACAGAAAAAAAACCCCGCCATCCCTGCCCCTGGAGATTAAGATCCCGAACATCTGACAGTGTAGGTTCATCAACCATTCTGTGTCGCTCATGCCAGAACGCAGGAAGGCTGGCAAGCAAATTCCTCATCATTTGTGCGGTTTAAGAACAGCAGAATGGCTTGGGACTTTGAAGGAACTGTCCATTTAGCTGCCAACAGGAAGGGGCAATAGCTATTTAAGAAGGAGTAATGATAAAACAAAAATAAATAGGGGGATTAAAAAAATATAACCAAGTCCCTTCTTTGCCATTTCTCTCTCTCCCCCCTGCCCCAAACAAGCACCACACTTGAGGTCTTGCAGTTTCTGCTCTCAGCCGTCCGTGGCCAAAATGATGGTGGCCCCAAAGATCCCAACGTTCTGTCCAATGAGCTTCATTTGGTTCCAAAATTCAACTCGCTGGGACTCGTGCCAGTAGCCCAAGTTCCCGTCAATAAAGAGGACCACCAGAGGGAGAATGACGGAGAGGATCTGGGCCGCTAAGATGACGTAATAGCCAGAGAGGAAGGAGAGGGCGAGAACACCATACAGCACAAAGAGAAGTTGGAGGGTGATTTCGCCACCGAGGATGCCATTGAGATAGGCCTGGCGGTCTTCCTTGCTGTGCTGAAGGGAGTATGCCTGAAAAGAATGGGAAACATACACTGAAAATTAGGAGGAAAGGGAGGTCTTTCGGTCGACACCCCTACAACGCAGGAGAGAGGAAACATGCAGCCACTCAGAAGCCAGACTGGGATTCCTCACAGCCTTTGCCAAAGGGAACAGCCAAAGGGGAGTAAAGATGGGGGTCACAGGTCAACAACATCATATGGAGAACCACCTGTCCCCTGGACAATGCAATTCCCACCTCCTCTGATAAAAGGGCGACTCTGGTATAAACATACATACGTACAGTGGTGCCTCACATAACGAGTGCACTGTTTAACGATGAATCCGCATAGCGATGCGGATTTTGCGATCGCTAATGAGACCACATACCGATGTTTAGATAGGGCAAAAATCGCTTTGCGATCTTCGCATAGCGATTTTTAAAAACAGCTGTTCGGCGGTTCCAAAATGGCCGCCGGACACCCAAAATGGCTGCGCATGGTGTTTTCGCGCCCTGCCCTTGCTTACCGAGACACACACTGAAAATTAGGAGGAAAGGGAGGTTTTTCGGTCGACACCCCTACAACACAGGAGAGAGGAAACAGGCAGCCACTGAGAAGCCGGACTGGGATTCCGCACAGCCCTTGCCAAAGGGAACAGCCAAAGGGGAGTAAGGATGGGGGTCACAGGTCAACAACAACATATGGAGAACCACCTGTCCCCTGGACAATGCAATTCACACCTCCTCTGATAAAAGGGCAACTCTGGTATACACAAACACACACACACACACACACACACACACACACACACACACACATACAGTGATGCCTCGCTTGATGACGTTAATCCGTTCCAGCGAAATCGCTGTAGAGCGAAATCGTCGTCAAGCAAAATAAAAAGGCCCATTGAAATGCACTGAAAACCGTTCAAGACGTTCCAATGGGCGAAATACCTGCTCGTCCAGTGAAGATCCTTCATAGGGAGGTCATTTTCGGGTGCCTGTAAAGCGAAGAATCCGTCCCTAACACAGCGGGGAGTCATTTTGCACAGTGGGTGGCCATTTTGAAACCTGACGATCAGCTGTTTTCTGATCGTCGTAAAGCGAAAAATCGGTTCCCGAAGCAGGGAACCAATCATCGTTAAGCAGTTTTTTTCCCATTGAAACATCATTTTGCGATCGCAAAAACCTAATCGTCAAGCGGATTCGTCAGAGAGAGAGAGAGAGAGAGAGAGAGAGAGAGAGAGAGAGAGAGATTGTGGGGTGTCGAAAGCGCTGTAGAGTGAAATTGTCGTCAAGCGAAATAAAAAAGCCCACTGAAATGCACTGAAAACCGTTCAATACATTCCAATGGGCGAAATACCTCCATAGGGTGGCCATTTTCGGGTGCCTGTAAAGCGAAGAATCTGTCCCTAACACAGTGGGGAGCCATTTTGCACAGCAGATGGCCATTTTGAAACCTGACAATCAGCAGTTTTCTGGTCGTCGTAAAGGGAAAAATAGGTTCGTAAAGCAGTTTTTTCCCATTCAAACATCGTTTTGCGATCGCAAAAACCTAATCGTCAAGCGGATTTGTCATTTAACAAGGTAATCGTTAAGCGAGGCACCACAGTACGTACGTACGTACGCGCGCGCACACACACACACACACACACACACACACACACACACACACACACACAGAGTTTTGTTCTGGGATGTACAGTATTTTTCGCTCCATAAGACACATCTGACAGTAAGACACAGCTAATTATGGAGTGAAAAATACGGTACATTGAAGGCAAAAAGGCAGGAGAAGAGGAAGGGAGATTCGAATTTCCCACCCTTTCCCCCTGCCTTTTTGCCTTTGCAGTGGTGGGGACCACCAGGATGTCCCCGATGGCTTCCTCCAAGCCATCGGAGACCTCCTGGGGGTCCCCCGCCACTGCGATCTGAACCCGAAGAGGTCTCCAAGTGCTTTCCCTCGACATTGGAGGGAGCTCTTGCAGAAGTGTATTTGCTTCATAAGACGCACACACTTTTCATCCCTTTTTGGGGGGAGGGCGTCTTATGGAGTGAAAAATATGGTATATAAAAGAAGGACATGTGAGTGTGTGTGTGCGTGAGAGACAAAAACAGACACACAGACGCACACACACTTTCCCCTGTGTTCTATCCTTCAATCAGCTGGATTTTAGCACAGAGCTTCTTTTTAAAAAATTTAGTCTTTCCAACAACATCTCCACAAGGGTTTTTTCCCCTATTGAACAAATTTATGAATTTCCATTATGAAATTCTGATGTAGCTTTTTCTGATGTTACGTAGTATCATCAAGTTCTTCCAAGAATTTTTGAATGCTTTCATGTTTGTGTGATTTCTCTTTCCTCTTTAAACAGTACACAATACAGAGCAAAGCGCATACTGTAACCAATTTCTGGTTCATACTGCACACAAAAAAAGTCCACTACCTGTTTCTGCAAACCTTTTGAGACCCTGTTAACAGCAGACAGTTTGCAAGAGGGGAACTAAGGATCGGGTGAGATTCTTCACCATACATACCACACAAATGAGGTAGATGCCAATGAAAACTTGCCCAGTGGACTGCAGTGACCTGTTCCGTGGTTTCTGGCGGTAGATTTCACCAGCACCGCTTGCCAAGACCAGGAGGCCCCCAATGATGGCTATCGTCCGTGAATACATCCTAACCTGCCCATATGTTACAAGACAGGTGGGACAATTAATGAAAAGTAAACATATCAGCCTGAATACAACCTAACCAGGGCTGTAGAATTACTGCATGATATGAACTATAAACATCTAACTTCAAGCACATTCAAATGCCCAAGTAGTCAAAATGTTTATTAGCATGAAAAGAGAACATTCCTCCACTGTGGTCTAGTATCGACTAGTATTCATTTTTCTGAACTTTCAGATTTCCATTTGGACATACAATGTTCAGCTTATGATTCAGCAGAAACTACTATCAGAGATTTCCTTCCTTAACCCCACTCCTTCCCTCCTCAGCACCTGGATTAAACTAGGACATCTTCCTCTATTTTTTTCCCATTCATTTCTGATCTGTGAAATTATAAGCAGACGGCTCCAGAACAGTGCAAGACCATAAACCAAGTGCTGGACACATCTGCCAGCCTGGCCAGCAATGAAGGATGATGGAGGTAGCAGTCCAGCAACATCTGAAGGGCCACCACTTGCCTACTTCTTGTCTTGGACCATAGCCAAAACATGACAGAAATGCAAAACTTACAGGATTAATCTTGGTGCCCAGAGGAGGGAGCACACAACATGAGACAGTGTTGGAGTTTTGCATCAGACTTCAGTCAATGATGACACCAGATTTCTATGAACCTAGATCACTGATAGGCTTACTGCCAGACTGTGGGAGATTCTGTGCTCTTTAATTATATTTCACAGGCCTGAAATCTTCCTACCACTGCTCTAGGATCATGGAAACTGCCTTATACCAGATCAGTAATAATGAATGCATGCAGTCAAGTCAATTTTGATTTAGGGCAGCCCTTTCTCTATCATTCCCTTCTTCTGGGGGCATCCTAGGACTGTGCAGCTTGCCCAAGGCCACAAAGGCTAGCTCTACTGACATGAAACACAGTGGGGCCAGCCTCTGGCTCCACAGCCAGATACCTAAGCCACTGAGCTATCCAGCCACCTTAGGATCCCTCTAAGCCAGTACTTTTTATTCTGATCCTTTTGACATGGAGACACTTGGGACTGGACCCGAGATCTCTAACATTCATAGAAGGTCCTCCCACACCCAGCAATAACTCCTTCCATCTCTACAACAGCCTTTACGAAGTGGCAAGAAATGAGTTTCTCACCTTCAGCCAATCTCCATAGTGTGCATAGCCTCCAACATATGCTGCATATGTGCTGACAGCAAGTTGTAGGGCTGCCCCTATGGCAAACCACCGACGTTTCACCCCAAAGGACATGAAGCTGGCGCACAGCACCGCTGCAGCCATGTCAAAGTAGAGAAACGGGACAGGGATGTCTGGTTTTCTGATCAAAGAAATAAACACAGAGAATTATTCTTTATGGTTCCCAAGCTCTATTTCTAAAAACCATTAATCAACCAGGGTACAAAGGTAATTACAGGTAATGTTTCCCTATCAGCTGAATTTTTTTTAATGCAACATTTAAAAACCTCTGAAGATTTAATCATCCTGCCACAGAGAGCAGAGAAAGTTATAAAGCACGAATGAAAATACTTCAACGCTCCAAATGTTCTTTCGTTTCAGCTTCCAGAAACCCCAAGTGGCAAGGCCAATGCTAAGAGAGGAGTGCCAGGCAAACACAATTTAGGAGCCACTCTGGAAAAGGCCCTGTCTCTGGTAGTCCCCCAGCTGGACCTCCCACGGTTTGGGGGCCACCAAAGGTAAAGTCCACAAAATGCAACAACCCTTCAGACACTCTAAAGGAGGGGGGGTTTTCTTGATCTGCGAGTATGGCTTTCAGCTAGCTTTAATGTTGCAACTCCCAGCCTAGTCAATGGGGAGGAATGTCAGGAGCCGCAGCCCAGCAAAATCTGGAGGGCCCAAGGTTGTTCCCCTCTGCCCTAGAGCTGCTACTGACTTATTCAACTACCCAGTGCAAGACTCCACCAGTCTCCTAATCTACTGTGGCTCTCCAGATATCCCTGTCCCTTCACCCTATCCTTAATTCCTTTTCCATCCATAACCCCCTTCCAGTTTGCATATCTATCCTCTCACAGAGCCACCCTGTCTAACCCTGGGCTTCTTTCACTGCATTCAAGTCCCCCTTCCCTATTTTTCCAACATCTCCTATACATCTTTCATATGCCACCTCAGCCATCTCTCATTCCTAAAAAGCTCCCCAAATTCTTACACAGCCTCTGTGCTTATGTCCTCCCAAGTCTGAACACACACACACACTTGTGACACAGACCGCCCATACCACTATCCCTTCCCTCAAGGTTACAAGCCCTGGGCCCTAAGGTTTCTCCTCCACCTAGTCTCTCTTCCCCCAAGAGGAAGATCCCTGGCCTGCGGCCTCCTTACAAGGGAACCTTCCACGAGTCTTTTCCACGTGTATGAGAAACTGGGGGGGGGGGGCTTGCTGCAAAACAGC